TGTGTAAAAATCATTTTATGACTGATGAACTGATACTGTCCAAAAAATATTATTGGTCTGCTTCTTTTTGCATGTGCCAATAAGTACAGTTAAGGACCTAGCATGTGTGTCTGGTGTGCCACCTGCATCCTTCTAACCTTCTTTGGGAAAATCCATGCAGCTTCTCAGTATAACCAGATATTTCCACTGGTTTCGGAAAGCAATCAGCTATCATCACTTCACTCCATGGTACAGCCTAGCAGAAGGGGCTCGGCGATAGTCCCAGCCAGAGAAATGGGCCACAGATACCAAGCAAATGGAGATGGATGGGGCTCCATGTGCAGAGCAGCAGACAAGCTGTCCCTGATAAATGGTTTTTCACCAGGACACTTGATCTCTCTCGCTCTCAGCCTAAAAAGCAATCTCACACTTTGCATGTCTGTGAATATTAACAAACCCTCAAACCCTGCACTCAAATGTCATCTATTGTGTCGCACATGGTGCCAGGCAAGAGAGCCAATTTGATAGAGAGGACTGTTACTGTGTGTGTTTGAAATAGAGTCAGAGGGAAGAGAAAAAAAAAAGAGAAATCCTGTTCTCTTTTCAGACATCCATCAACAAAGAACAGGTACAGTATGGCTCTGGTGCCAAAGCCCCATGACATATTGCTGCTGCCAAGCTTCACACTAGACTCTGGCAGTGTACTTCATAGCTATATTCTACAGTCTGGATTTTTTTTAATTATTACATCTTATTTCAACCTTGAGCACTTCAACCCTGGGCTTTTTTTTATAATGTGCAGTTTGACATGCTGCTATATTAATGCATTTTCATGGGGAGAAAGAGGGTGGAGAGCTTTATTTCAGGCAGTAAATAAAGATTTTGTTAGCAAGTGCAATTAGTCCAGGTGCCTGGGCACAATTTTTCCTTATCTAATGTCTAACATTTCCATGCAACATGGCACGGGGCTAATTCCACACAACACACAGAGAAATGGCACTCATCAAACAGAATCATCTAGCATGATCTGCAGCTGGCAGCTTGGAGAATTAAAGTGCGGAGGAAAGTCGTCTGCTCCATTTCTCTCTCCTCTTTATCCTCTCCGCCTCTCTTCTCCGCTCAAAATGGCAGGTTAACCCATATGAACCATCTGTCACTGCTGCAGTGCTTCACACCTCCTAGTCTGGCCCCTGGAAATCAGTGGCATATGTTACTACTGCTGTGGACAGCAGGCTGATCTGGGGATGATAAGACAGGACAGGCTTAAGATGTACAGCTCGGGGTTTAAAGGCTGAGGCCAGGCAGACACTCTTTAAGGGAAAGAAGCATAAAACTCTTTGTAGATACACATCTAAAAGTGCGTTTGGACTGACAGAATTGTGCAGATGCATTCTTTTCTTTTTGTAAAAAATCATATCAGTAATCTGGGGCATATATATTGTCCTTTTATAAATCTCAGTGTGCATGTCCACAAGCCTGATTTCTGGTCCAACCTTTACGCATGAACAGATGCAGGCACTCCCTTATTGTTACTTCCACAAAGAATTTCTGTTTGCAAAATAGCTTTTGAATAACAGCCATAACAGCTAAAGAAACCAGCAAAGAAGTCCCAAATGGGACTCTAAAACACTTGTTAGCAAAGCAGAAAAGAGAAAAACAACTGGAAATATGTATTTAGTGATCTCAATAACAAACAGAAGAAAGAAAATCTGAAGAAAAAACTAAAGAGGACCCCAGCAGACACAAACATGGGCAGCAGTCGAATAGCAAACAAGAGACAAAGAGGCGCGTCAGTTCACACAAGGAAAGAAAGCCAATATGCAGCCTCACAGCTATTTACACCACCAATTTCCAATGATAATAACACACCCAATAAAACTGAGCACGAACTAAATGATCTGTAATAAACTTTGTGAATGGTAAATTGTACATATTAGTATAAATAGGTGTGTTTAGAAACAACAGGTATTTATTATAACAATACATGCAAGCTCTGAGCTTGATTTTCAACCCCACCTCAGTGTACTTGCTTGATTCTAAAGAACATGTGTTGTGAGGTCCACACAGTCTACATTCTTGCTTTATGTGTGGGAAACAGTGTACAATTGGCTTTTGTGTGTATACACTGTTGTTGCATCAGACTCCACCTAGTATTAAAGGTCATTAAGCTCAAGGAGTAAAGCAAAACTAAATATGCCACCTTGCTACTGTACCATTGCTTAAACCAGTCATAATTTTTTCTTGGCCGACAGAGTTCTGAGAGTTTTTTTTAGAGGGATAGTGATGGTTTCACAGCTTCAAAACAGATTTTTTGTGTTGAAGAAATAGAGTAACCTGTGACTGAACAGATGCCCACTTCACCGCGCTGCTATTTTTTTTCTGTACAGCTTCCAGGTTTGCAAATAATTCAAGTACTACAATATTTTAACAGTCAGTAGGTATGTGCTTTGGATGCACACAAACAACTGGCTGGTCTGGCCATTTTCATTAGCCCTGTTACACATTAAATGCCACAAGGTTGATTAGGTTGCTACAACTGGGTAGTTAGTGGGTTTATATTAAAAAAAACAACAACGACAAAAAAACTATTATTATTTAATATAAAAAGATAAGGGGCCATATTTAAGTCACCAAAGGTGGATGGGTAGTTGCACTGCCCTGAATATGGACATTACAGCAAGTTTTGGGGAAAAGTGAGCAGCCAAAAATCTATTAATAATTCCTCCCTGCTCACCACTGCACCGAATCTGCAAGTACTGTGTGTGCCCCTGGTAGTCCACAAGAACATCCACCTCCTACGTAGTCGCCCACGTCTCCTGATAAAGAGCCACGAGAAGCTGCTATGCAGGACTAAATGTGCATCTCTGGTATGCTGTTTTTCTGCTCACTTTTCACAGGAATAAAAAAAGAAAGAAACCAAAAAAAAGAAAAAAACAACAACCAAAGTTTCACCATGGAGGATTTCGACTTGAGTAATGAATCATCGTCTTTCATCTCCTACTACTGGTATAAAACAAGTTTGTTCACACCTGCACATAGTTGTCTACTTCCACAGAATATCCAGAAGAAAAGACGCAGGCCTTTGACATGAGCTGTAGTGAGTGAAAGTAAGTGATGATAGCTAGAAAAAAAGAAAAGAATTTCTAATCACCAACACAGAAGCAAAAAATAACTGCAAACCAAAACACGACCAAAGCAGGTTTACTGTCCCGTAAACTATCACTTACAGAGAGCTAAATTTAGCCAATTACATGCCTAGTAGAAGAGTTTTCACAAGAGCACATTCCAAGAGAAAACAAGAGAAAATGTATTTACAGGCCAACACAATTACAGATAATAATAGCTTGATCAAGTCATCACTCCTGATTGAAGGCTGGCATTGACTGATTTAAAGTCCTGTGGCCACCGCTGTGTCATTCCTTGGATGCTACACACTTGATTCATAAAGGTAGCTATAACCTGTGACGCTGGAGCTGTCACCGAGAGCGACAATGACAAATGCACTCGTGAAAGTAATGACAGGTATGTGGCTGGAATTCCAGTGACCTGAAAATCAGGAATTCCAATCTGCAAAAGGTCATCGAACATAGCGTGACGCTCTCATGGGTGAGAGATTGCTTAATAGTTTCATCAGTGTGCTGAGTGCTTCCAAATCTCGCCAAAAACAAAGAGGGGGTTTCTTCAATCAGCTTTAAATACCCACTTACTTTTCATCACAAATCATATTTACACTGGTGATTTCATAAATCCTCCACAGTCACATCTTGACACCGCATGAGTTTTTCATAGCACAATGCTAAATCTCTGGGGCACCAGGGCTTCATATGGTGTCCTTTGAGACTGCCTGCTGTGATGATCATTTTGCTGGGCTGCCAGATCCTGCCCTTTTGCCGTGGCTTTGCTATGCACTTGTTTTCTGTTCATTTTGTGAGCAAGTGAGCGAGAAAAATATGAGGTACGATAACAGAGTGGGTGTTCGGGACAGGACCCATCTGTTCTTGCCCTTCATCCCGCAGAGCCATCATCCTGGACAAGGCCATATCAGGCAAAGTCCAGCGGGATATTTTCATCTGACACACCAGGGCTTGGATGGCACACCACCCCCCCCAAAAAAAAAATAAAAAAGGATGCTCCAATTAACCTTATGCTCTTCGTCTTCTTTTTCTGCATGGATGCCAGCATTGCAGCATGCCAAAAGGGTTGTGAGTCACGCGTCCTGAGTGGAAAGCCATGGACACTCGCTACAGGGGTGCTCAAGGAGGGGTGTGTCCTATCCTGAGAACACTGGGCCAAACGGCGATATGGTGATAAGCAAACAACACAAACGCAGGACAAGCAGGCTTCATGGAGAGAACCAGGGCTCTGACAGCTCAGGACAGCTATGGTGCTCTTTTTTTTTTCCTGCCAGAAATCAACATTGTGAACAGAAGCCTGTCTGGTGAGAGAAATCGCTGTGTCATTGAGCTGAAATGAACAGATCAGTGGAGACATTGTCCATTTAACACAGTGACACTAATAAATTCAGTGCCAAATATCCCCCACTCTCGGACTCCAATATAAAATGCGGAATGATTCAATATGCCAGGTGTAATTACAATGTGCAATAACGAGCAATGGAGAGAGTGATGGCAGAGCTTCTCCCCCGCCAGGGTAGATTATAGATTGCAGTAATTGCAATTCTGCCTTAATTATGAATGTGGCACTAACACGCAAAAAGCAGACACAATGACTCAGTCACCATATCTCTAGTATCTTCCTAATTGTGGAGGCAAATATCCAGAACATCAATCAATACATAATTACATTTTGGGACATTTTAGTACACAAATTAATTATAGAAAATTCCCATGTGCAATCGTGCCACTGGTTTGTTTCCAATTGTCTCAAAATGCACAAAGTTTGAGACACAAATCACAAGCTGACCTCATTGTGCTGCTTTTATTTGTTACAAGTGCTTATTAGTTATATAATCACTCCAAGGGGTACCACAAGCTGCCAAGCAAACAAATGATGGGACTCACCCCTCTCTGCTATCCTCTTCATCTGGGTTAGATATGAGCTGGGATCCAGCGAGGGATATGTCCAGTGCCGCCAAAGGCAAATCCCTGTAGGTGAAGCTGACCAGCTGGACGGGGGCCACACACTGGTTGTCGTCCTCTACCTGCTGGGAGATGACCTCCAGCTCTGAGGCTCCGGTCTGGGGAGGAGCCCTGTCACATGCAATACACACCATAAACAGAGCAGCAGTGAAGTCAGAGAACTGAAGTGGTTGCTGATAGAGTCATCCATGAGTAATTTTGCAAGTTCTAGCTGATTATACGATAGCGACAACTGGTATCTACATGTTGTCTGTGCGCAGCAGCGAGAGTTATAAAGCACAAGTGACAGTGCTTCATGCAGCCTTTAGAGCAAGGTTGCATGAAAATGTGCCGCTTATTTAAATTACCCAATATTCTCACCAGGAAAACGTCTCAGTCAGTGCAACCACGACATCCTGAAATTCTTTGTGTTCTTGCTTCTCAACACCTAACTGCACACATGGAAATAGTATGTTCACTAAAACAAAACACACACCAGCTTTAATGAGAAAAGACTCTTGCTTTCTACAGCAAAGTAGAATAAATGTGGATTGGCCCCATACCTTACAGGAAGCCACTGTTTTGCATTAATCTGTGTAAACCCATGACTTAAATTTGCCTGAACTGAGCACAGTTACAATTTTAACTAGAAGAGTTGCATTTCCTGCGAAAATGCAGTGTGAATCTGCTGAAAACAGCTGAAGAAGCAGAAGTTTCTGCTGAAAAGAGGTAAAGAAACTGAAAATTGTGATGAAAAGAGGTGAAAAGCCAAAAATGCTGCTGAAAGGGGGTGAAGAAGCTGAAATATGTACTGAAAAGACGTGAAAAAGTTAAACTGTCTGCTGAAAAGAAATGCTGCCATGAGTAGGGTTTGAACGCAGCCTCCTGGTCCCAAGGTAACTACTCATCTCACTGAGCCAAACTGGTTCTCAGGTAACTGAAAGGAGGTGAAAAAGCTGAAAATTCTACTGAAAAGAGATGAAGAAACAAAAACTTGTGCTGAACCCTGGTGAAGAAACTGAAAATACTGCTGAAAAGAGGTAAAGAAACTGAAATTCGTGGTGAAAACAGGTGAAAAAGCTGAACTTTCTGCTAAAAAGAGGTGAAAAAACTGAAAATTCCACTGAAAACAGGCCAAGAAGCTGAAAATTCTGCTGAAAAGGGGTGAAGAAGCTGAAATTTGTGTTGAAAGGAGTTAAAAAAGTTAACTGAAAAAAATGTTGCCATAAGCGGGATTTGAATCTGGGCCTCCTGCTCTGAAAAAGGCTGCTCATTTCACTGAGCTAAAACACAGCTCACCCCAGCAAGCAAAATCAGTGACCACACTGATAATGTGGTCAATTCATTTCAATGGGACAAAAAAGCAATAATTCGAATTAATAATGTCTAAAAAGTATAATACAGTTAAAGTACAAAAATATAGCAGGAAATGAGCTGAAGTAGCAGAATATTGTAGAAATTTGAACATGGTGAAAATGGGGACGCTACAGCTCCAATAAAGAGAAACAGGAACAGCATTCACACAATAACTACTAGTTCACAGCATGCTTGTGCTCTATATTTTAGTGACACCTGTCACACAGGGCCTGGTAGCTTTGACTGACAGATGTGATAGGTTAGGTGTGCTGATATGGGATGTCGGTGCCCTTTGGGGCATTTTAATGAAGGTTTATGACATAACAAGACACAGACATGACTCGAACTTGACAAACAAAGAAAACTTGGACATGAAACATGACAGATAAACACACGAAGACTTAACAGCAGCGATAGGAAACTTACACAGGGATGAGACAAAGAGGAAGCTTGATAAATCATGAATAAAACTGTAACCTAGGCATGACAGAATGTAACTAGATAAACTGAAATGAAACTAGACTCAAATGAATAACAAAACATCAAGAAACTCAGAAACTGGGTCACACGACCCAGGACCATGACAACTTAGCAATAATTCGAATTAATAATGTCTGTGCAGTGCATCCATACAGTCTGTGAATACATCTAATAAGTAGGGTCAGGTGGCTGGTCATCTACTAAATGGTAAACGATCTGGTTCTTACTTGAGCACCTCATTTAGCCATTCATACAAGCCCCTTTTCTACACTTTCTATCTGCTCACACACATTCACTCGGGGTTAGTATCTTGCCCATGGATATTTGGCATGCAGACTGGGGGAGCCAGGGATCAAACCACCAACCTTCCGATTAGTAGAGTATCTGCTCTACATGAGTCACAACCACCCTTTTACTAATGAGAATGTTGGTGAATGCGTGTGTGTGAACATTAACTAGAAAGAACTTAAGCATAGAAAAAAGTTTTTGTATGAAGTGCAGTCTATTTACCATTTACCAGGCTTACAGGTCTTATACGATAACTTAGTAATTCAGCTGCTCTTCAAAAAAGTAACACAGTGGAGACCAAAACACTGATGTTGAGGCTTCAAAATGCACAGTCTAGAAACCCCTAGGTGACATCATGTTGGCTACATCCATCTTTTATATACACTTTGAACAAAACTGTATTTGTCAAATTTTATAAATGGCATTGCAGAGCAAAACATCTTTCCCCCCTTTGGTTTTTTGTGTGCTCCGTGACGCTAGCTATATTTGGCAGGACCGGACAAGGTGTCACTTGATCTAGGAATGAGATCTTAAAACTTAAATGTGCAGGGAGGGCTGCGATATCACAAGCTCAACCAATAGCAGACAAGGAGAAGGCACCATGAAAGAGAAGAGTCACATTCCTTGGCTGCAGTCCCAGTGCAGCCAGCGAGGAGACATCAATAACCGGAGTACTTAACAGTGGGGGAAGTCATTGATTACAAGGCAGAGGGATCAAAAGCCACTGGGCTGGTGAATTCTACAACCTCTGCGCTGGAGGTGAAGCAGAAAGGGTGGAACCAGTTAGTAGAAGATCACTGAGCAGACCTACCTTCATGGTAAATGTTAACGTAGGGAGACCTTCAAAGAAAATAGGTCCTTCTCTTTCCTGATTTATTTCTTGACTAACAGCTGTGTATTGGACTTCCTTGAAAGCTTATGTTGTTCTTCTCACAAGAATTCACTTGAAATATATTCTTAGATTTGCACATAAGGACTACAAACAAACAAACAAACAAAAACAAAACACTCTACCCTGATTTTCGTAGATAAAATGCCACAGACTGTCTCCTTTTAACACATCTGTTATGCGAGTCCAGCTTGAAATTGGTGCTCAGCTTCAGGGTCAAACGCCCATATCTAACTTTGTCCTCTACAAAACTTGCCTGCGTTGTTATCTGTCGAGTTGGCACTTCTGACCAGCTGCAACAAGGACGCTAATGACTGATGACAGCCACAAACTGTTTAGTGCATCAAAATCACATTTTCAGACAATCACAAAGCAGGCCAGGAGTGATTATGTGCAGGGTGCAGTGGAGTGGCTGGTTGCCATTGTGGGGAGTGAGTGGAATCTTCACATATGAACACCCTGCTGCCCCCCTCAGTGATGCAGGCAAGGACAGCCGGCAGCATGCCAAAGGCGAGTCTCTTTTCGGAAGCATGCAATATTAGTACACGCCACGAGGAAGCAACAAGGTTAAGAGAGAGCATGCATGGCTGCAGGGAAAATCTTGCACCTATACAGAGTAAAACTGAGAGCTTAACACTAACCCAAAATATGCAATTTTCTTCTTCACAAGCTAATGTTTAGAAATGCCACACAGATGCATACACATGGCATTGGTTAATACAGCCAGGTCTTTAAGGTTGTCATGTAAGGAAACTGTAATTTAATATGTATTTTAATTAATCTAAACACCAATGAAGTAAAAACTACCTTATATAGAAGAAGAAGAGGAGGAGGAAGTAGATAGTTATGTGTGCTTGATTTGGCAGAGTTTTACACTTCCTGACCCAACCTCAAAGGGGATTTCTGTTATTTGTTGGAACTGAACCAGCAACCTAATAGTAACCTTAACCGTGAGTGCAAAACTAAACGAAACTAAACTAAAAGAAACTAAACTAAACTAAACTAAACTAAACTAAACTAAACTAAACTAAACTAAACTAAACTAAACTAAACTAAACTAAACTAAACTAAATTTAGTTTGAAAGAAAGACTGAAACTGAATTTAGCTTATTTAAGTGATGTCAAATCTCTGTATTCATTGAGTTATGGATGAACATGATTTACTTCATCTTGTTTATGTATGAGAATTTTGTAGCTATATTAATAATTACTAATATTGACTTTAAACTGCCAACAACATATGATAACAAGGTAATAAAAAAGAAGATGGCATGCATTATTGGATTCTGTCAGAAAGGTTAAGACTGCTGCCTGTCACTTAATATTTTAAATAACCTGTTCAGAGCAATAAATCTCCAGCTTCTGTCACTGCATCGAAAAGTGCTGCCTCAGCACGAACTGTTGGTTTGCAGAGGGCACTGGTATCATTGTCATTCGGAGCGCTCGCTGCCACAGTATCTCTGGCCGACCATCTATAACCCAGCTGCTTTGTCTTACCCAGTGAGTTAGAATGCGGACAAACTGGCTGCTCCTTGGTGCACAGCACTTCGCTGTCATGATTTCATCACAAGCCTCTGCCACAATGGTGCATTTATAGGGATCAGATATTTTTGGCAACCTCTGTGATGCTGAGTTTCAGTGGGACCTTGTTTTGACTTTGATGCCTGAAACATTCACGTGTAGTATCCAGAGATCCCTGCTAAAAAACAAATACAGACCAGCACCAATATCACCTAGTCTAACAGCGTGGCTCATAGAGGTGTTTTATTAAAAAAAAAAAAGTTCTATCGCATAAAAGAACAAGGTCATTAATTTACCTCACTGACTATACAGACAGTGAGGAAGACGCAATTACTTCTTGGTTTTGGTGCCACATATATGCTATATAGTTAGACACTTTAAGCTATTTAATGAATCTTAAAGGGGAATCTAATCTATCTGTCCAATCTACGACACTCAGAAAAAAGACTTAATCATATAAAAATATAAACGTCATATTTCTAGAAAAAAATAATACACCACATGTGGGAGGGAGGTGGGAGATTTAATACAGATTCAAGCGGTGAAAATAATTCAGAAGATATGAACGAGTTTCCCCATCTGCCACATCTGCCACTTCTCAGACAGTCAGCTGCACTTAGCATTAAATCATGTGTCTGTACTACTAAGCAGTCAACGATTCTCTATATGATCTGGTTACAGATGTCATGCGCCTCTGTCCTCTACTTCTGTGCTGTTCTGTAACCCAGGTAGTAGCCCCTGTTTGTATGTATTAGAAGCAGCACCCCGTGGCTTGCAGAAGATGCAGCTGACTAAACCCATTTTGCATTCAACTCCCACTCCACGCTACTCCCCTCAGCTCCATTCCCATGCTCACTCTCTTTACCCTTCCCTTAGCCAAGGCTTTGGCTGTCGTCAGAATGCTCGGCCTGTCTTGAGGACCACACACAGAGTAATTATTAATAAGAGAAGATGACAAGTGAACATCCCTCCTGAATGTTAAGAGATGGCAGTCCATTCTCTCGCTCCCGGAAATACTTGGACGAGGACAAGCGCTACTTTCTCCCTGATCCCCTGTTTAAAGTCACTCACGGGAGGCACACGAGCATGTGCAGGTCCCATTCTGCTAATCATATCCCACCACACCGAGACTAACTGCGCATAATACAACATGTTCATAAATAGAGATTTAAGATTTCACACTCTCTCGTACACATGGTTTCAAACAAGACTCCGGAGGGTGTTATACTTACTGAGTGTTGCTCATGTCGAGGTCTTGTTGCTGCAAATAGACGTCCACGCTAAATAACCCCAAGTGTGAAATATGATTTCACCGCTGCAGAGACTGGGCTCCTGCCACACATACAGGAAACACAAGATAAAAACAGACAAAGCACATAAAGAGGTAAATAATAGGAAAGCTCCCTCTTCTGAAACTTATTGTGGCTTATGATTGGGAGCTCCAGAGCAGCAACTAATAGGTCTTGTGGGCAGATTGCCCCAAGGTTAACAATAAACAGCAATTCTCAAAATTATGAGGCGTCTACATTGTAGCCGTGCAGCACAAATGCATTCAGAGCTATCAATGAAAAATCGGTGCTTATGTTTTTCCTGAAGGTGCCTTGCTCCAACTCCAGCTTTAGCTATGCTCTGTTCAACTATTTTCCTGGGGAGCAATAAACTGTAATGGATTTTAAATCTCCTCCAATATACGCTCCGCTCTGTGAATCAGGGGCTGAGGAACATCACACCTCTTGCATAGCAAGTGCACCAGGATGCTAGCTCTTTGTGCCACAGGATAGAGAACCATTGATGTCCAAGCCTGTTTAGTGAAAGCCCATTCCGGTTACTGAAACGGACACATCATGACCTGGGAGGAAAGTCAAAAACACAGCCACCCGTTTATTTAAGATTGAATGAAATCTTGACTATTACAAGCAAAATAATGGCAATGATAGCATAGTGTTGGCCATGCCTTCATTATTTAGAAGGCATTTGATGAATTTGCGGTAGTGTTTTAGATACAAAGGCATAGCAAAAGCCTCCGGACATTCAGAGGTGAGGAGTCAGCATTCACAGCAGAGTAATGTAGTGAAGCACAGCAGATTAAATGCTACTCAGGATAAATCAGTCCAGGTCATTCAAGGGCTGAGGGTGATACTGTTTCGTTGCAGCACCCCCCTAAACGTGCAAGAAGAAAGAAAGAACTGGCCAGTGAGAGGTGACTAAAGTCAAAAAGGTTAACACTGTGCCAAAAGTGAGGAGTAACTGTGGAGGTGACTGGAAAGGCAAGTCTACTGAAAGATATGTGCCAGTCCTTTTTGGAGATAATGCACTACATACCAAAAATATTTCTGGACATCTCTCTATCAGAAAGCTCGAATTTCACAATCAGCAAATTGAGTTGACCCTTATTACTATAAGTACAGCCTTCAGTAAGTACTTCATCAGCGAGGGTCGGTGGGTGGGGGGTGGTCCACAAATGCAGCACATTTTCCTGGGCTCTTCTCAGTTCCCTGTGACTCGTTTCTGTCTGAGGCTTTCTGTATTTAGCGCAATCGAGATTCACTTGCAAACGTTTTTCACCAAGTCATTGCTACACGAACAGTTAGCTGTTAACGTGCTTTGTTTTTTTCCGCGCTGTTCTTAGAGGCCATAGAGCCTCATTCATGTTCATGCTCAACCCAACTGAGACACATCAACTCCTCGGTGCGCTTTAGATTAGACACCCCCTCGAAAAAGAGAAACAGGGGGTGGGGGGAATTAAACACACTAACCTCTTGTGTTGTCTTGCTCTACATTGTGTAAAGTGTGGTCGTGACTCCTTTGCCCTCGCAGTGATGATGGTTATATCTCCCTCCTCGCCGTGGATGATGATGATGATCAGTGTGAGGGAAGCTCGGATCTTGCTGTGTGTAGGTTGCGATTAGCCTTAGATTTGCGTTGGCCAAGCACCCGTATCGCCTCTCAGAAGATAGCGCACGACAAAAACACCTACTCCGGACTGTAAGCACCATCCTTCAGAAGGAGACGACGAGGCTGTCACTGAATCAGGGTGATAACGACATCTTCGCAGGGAGGCATGATGTGCTTGCAGGGCTTCCCCCAGAATCACATCAGGAACTCCATGTGCCCGATAATAATAAGAGGTTCACGAGCGGGAGCTGTCCAGGTGCTGAAAAAAAGGATTCCAGCGGTTACAGATGTGTGACAAGCAGTGCTCCGGGAGGGAAACGGATAGCCTACCCCAAACCCTCGCAATGATGTCATATCAAGCATGTATGCAGTCAGTGTACCCACTAAGCCATTAGAGCCCGCAAAAGTCCTCCTTTCTATGCCACCCTGGAAGCGTCGACGTAAAAAAAAGAAAAAAAAGAAAAGAAAAAAAAAAGGGAAAAAGCCCACTCTCGCTTCACTTCACCTCTTGAGCTTCAGAGCTCCTCGCGATAACAACCCACCCGCGCGAAAAAAAGAAAAAACATATCACTAATACTCACAGTGAAGTGTTTCTGTGACCCTCGGTGGTGATTTTAATGCAGTTTATCAGTCTGCAGCACACCCAGCAGCAGGCTCTCTGCGACATTTCAATTGCATCCTAAAATGCATTAACAGGACTTAGATCCCCGAACGTCACATAAGGCAGCATTTATAAAGGGTTCATAAGTTGTGACTAATGGCTTTTATAAACGGTATTAAACAATTTGCCAAGGCTTTAGATCCCTTTGCAGAAAATAAAAAACAGTAAGTCATCCCTTAATAGATGCTCATGAGGTTTTTCACTTTTAGTGCACTAAGCTATCAAGCCTGCACTTATAAATGTATGATGACACTGCAACTTTTTAAAGTACCGGTACAGTTAAAAGAAAATTACCACCACTTTCCAATAGATTTCTAAAACCTAAATTAAAATGATACATAAACACCAACCCATAAAACTAATAAACAATGGCACTGTCCCATCTTTATTAAACACACACACTCAAAGCGCAGGCTGAATAAAAAGTATGTGTGTACCTGTTTTCCAAACACTTCTTGGAAGGGTGGGTTATCGAGCTCAGCAATCCTGCAATCCTGAAAGAGGTGAAGAAACACCCAGAACACAGCAAGATCATTACAGCTTGACAAAAATATCACAGTCTACCTAATTTTCTGTTCTGTGAAGAGGTGAGACAAACACTGGACTTTTTGGCAAGAGGAAAAAAAGGTAGACCAGGTTTGAGGAAACAAAGGGATTTGAGCACTCAAGCAGGGACACTTCAATCCAGCTGTGAAGCATGGTGGAGGGAGCACTGGGGCTGCTGTGCTAGATCAGTCCATGGATGCCTTGTAGTCACTGAAGTACAATAAAATCAAAACTATAAGAAGAAACTTTGCAGGTTAATGCAAGTCAGGATGAGCTTAGAAGTGGATCAAGCATCAATTTAAGGATGTAATACAAAGAAAAATATAACATATTACAAAGTTGAAAAAAATCATTAAAAATATATTTAGGTTATCATGAGATAAGTTAATATAATTTTAACTGCATATCTTGCTAAGTCAGCCTTTTTATTCTGAAAACCTTTTATTTCCATACAGTCTTTTCCTCCTTATCTGCAGCAGAAAGAAAAACAAATAAGAAATGTAGTTACAAGAAGACAGTTACTCCCACTGGATATTTACTCCAACTGCCAACTAGATGATCATTATGAAAGGCCTTTTTGTAATGGCCTATATGAATAGAACAAAATAATTACAGCAAGTCAAACCTGTTTCAAAGTAGGTCAATAAATGAGCATCAGCTAATGCTTTAAGACAGCTTTGAAAAATGTGAACGTCTCCTTTTGTATTTTTTCATCAAGGTCTTGATGCATGCTCAATCATCCAGGTAAGGAAATCCCAAAAGGTTTGTCAGTGCTACTAGTTTCAGTCATTCTGCAAATGTATTGTTTATAAGATTGGGGAAACTTGCAGTCAGCTGAGACGGAAGAAGTCACTCGGATGAGTGATGAAATGTTTCTTTCACTGATGATGATGAACGGAATCAACTTTTTGGGATTTCATAAAGGTCATAAAACAAAGTATTTCTTGATAAATTTAAAGTTTTAAGAGCGGAATAAAGCAAACAAAGCAGCGTATATACAAATCAAACTTATCTATAAAGCCTCATTGAGTGATTGGCTACTGTTAATTAGTTCTTAACTGTACATCCTTTGAAAAACAGTGCCTCGGTATATTAGCTAAATGAAAAGTGTAGGAGGCATTAAATAATCACAAATTGAACAGATAACTAATTAAATCAGTTTAACGTTGCCACACTGGATGATGCTGGGTTACATAAATTTAGAAAAACATGATCATAAAAGATTAAAAATAGCCAGCTGATTGTCACCTAACGGTTCTAAGCAGTGTAGTAATTATCTCTATGCAAGAATTAGTATAGTACTTCCGTTGACTATAAACTCATCCCACGATTACATTCACACATTCTTTGCATGCCACTCCATTCAGTTTCAGTTGTACCAAACCCAGACATACCAAGCTCGCATTCACAGAAGTCGGTTTCGTCACCTGTTTTCTGACGAAACTTATCCTACAAAAGCAAAACCAACATGTCATGTAATCAGTCTTCATTCAATTCTAACACTCACAGAGGTCGTATAAGCCATATAATGACCTCCAGGAAGCTCTGCAGACCTCCAAAAACCATTTTGATTTGCTTATACAACAACAAAAACAACAATACTGTTCATTTCATGTTAAAACATTACCAGCCTGTATCCTGACATTTAACTTGCAATGCGGACAAACTGCAATCTCAACATTTTTTTAGGCCTAGGGAGGAGCTCACTCTCAAGACTACGTCCTCTGAGATCCAGGTGTCATTATGACTTAGACTCAGGAGCTGCGCTAACCACCCAAAAGCTGGGATTTTATGAGCTGGTAAGGGCAGATTGTTGATTTATTCAAACAGATATATTAGAGATATATTTCTCTAACGTAATAATCAATAACGCTATGACTCCTGTCAGATTCACAGAAATTGTTTACATGTTGCCTAAAAACGTGCTTTCCTCGTGTTGAGTGCTCATGTACTTTTCTTTGTCAAAATTCTTCCTTGTGTTCTTAGTGAGACAGCAGGAAAAACAGAACATTATCAATGATGGCAGGTAATAATACCAACAATCATAAAACTAAAACCCTCTGAGGAGCGAACAAATTCTATATATTAAGAAAAAGCATCTTTCCAGCTCTGTTATAACTATCCTACCTTCTTTTTATCTCTGTAGATCATGGAAACCCTTGCAGTGCAGAGGATGCCACCTACTGCATGAATGGAGGGACATGTTATAAAATATCTTCCATGGACACACTTTCTTGTGTGTAAGTTTATTGAAATCAATCAGTGTTTTTAATTGTCTTAGAAAAAAAAAATCTTAATGTAAAAAAATATGGACACTACCCAACCTGGCAATGTTGTTTGTGAATTTGCAAATATTTGTGCAACGCTATCTGCCTGCAGGTGCAACCCAAACTACAAAGGCAGCAGATGTGAACAGTTCCAGCTCGGAGTCACACAGCCCATTTCAGATGAGGCTGGTTTAATTGCAGCTGTGATTGTCATTACTCTCCTTATCTTGATAGTGCTGGGATTTATTGTCTACTACATACGCAAGTAAGTACATTGTGGTTTTAGGTAAACACTCTCAAAGCATCTGTAAGTAGCACCAGGACGTCTTTGTATTACTGTACATACTTTCTAAGCTTATAACCATTACTTACCACCACACAGGATGCGAAAAGCGAAGGAACAGAGACAACAGAACCACAACCAAGAATACTGGAAGGTACAATCAAGAGCATGATCCTTCCTTCTGATTTGATTTGGTGGTGCATTTGATGGTTTCAGGAACGAATTGTGAGAAGTGTCATTTATCTTGTCATGCTATCTGAGGTTTCGAAAATGACTTTGAAAAAAGCTAAAAAAAAGAAAAAAAATGAGAGTGAAAAACTACTGCACTGACCTTAAAGGGCAAATTGACGAGTGTCACACCACCATTGCTCTGATGTTAAATCACATTTCACCTTGTCAAAACATATTAAAGTGCAGTTTAAGTGTGACTTTTTAAAATTTGTGGCAATTGTGGGATTATAAACTAAGTTTCTGTATGTTATTAGAAAATATTTTGCATTTGTAAATATATTCCATCATTTTTTTAAAATGATTTGAATGTGTGATTTCTGGTGACATGCCATTACACACTCTTATTTACTTGTGAGACGTTAACGCACTAGTAATTCTTCCTCTTCAATGCTTCATTCCAAACCTCCACTCTTAACCTAATCTCACATCTAATCACATCTCTTAAAGTATAATTGCTCATTGAGGTGTCCTGGACCAGTCAGTGAGATCTCACTTTACAAAGATGTCAGCACTTTGCAGTTTTTAAAACTTAAAACTGGATCCCACAATGCTGGACACATGCATGAACACACATGCATGTGTGTAGGGGTCTGTATAATTAGCTTATCCCAAGCTATTCATCGGTGTCCTTAAATCTAACAAAAACAGGGCACGGGTGATCCCAGGAGTTTTATGAGAATGGTGTCACCAAATTGGCTTCAATTTGCTGCACAGAGGAGGAAATCCAAACTTGTTGGACTGCATTTCCCATAGTTTGTATTTGTTAACAAATTAAAAAAATAAATAAATAAATAAAAAAAAATGTGTGGGCAGAAACAACATTGTAAATGCTGACTGAATGGTTTCACTTTAGAATTCTTGCCAGCATTAGGTCAGGACTGACACTGTGGCTGTTGATATTGGTATTTTAAAAATGCTACAGTGAAACCATTAGAGAGTAAAAAATATGTAGTCAGTGTCCCCCCCCCCTCCTCTTTAAGGAAATATCTGTATATAGACAGCCGTAAAAGGAAGAGAATACGCAAAGCTGATTTAAATAAATTGTGAGTGAAATGTTTTTTACTTAAAAGTAGTAATTTATTTAAAAAAAATGTTCTGGATTGACGTGTTACGTTTTAAAGAGAATTGAACTGCCTTCTATATAAATCCAAGAAACTTGTATCAGAGTCTGTTTTGGGGGGAGGCGGGGACTGCTTCCGTCTAGTGGCAGAATGTCTTCCTTACTTTAATGCTGTAATTGAGAAAATGCTTAATGTAAATAAACTCAAAACATTTATATAAATGGATACTTAAGACTAATTTTATTTCCTTAAAGTTCAGACACATTGAAAAGCTCTATCAAAATGACACAAGATCACAAAGTTTTCTTGCAGGTAAACTCACACACCTGTGTAAACAGTTCTACTTCCTTCTGGCATTATCAAACTCCTTCGCAATTTTCAGTGCAGTGTTGTTGAGTCCCACGGACTGCATGTTAGCAATGATGGTGACCACCACCCCCTGTGGGAGGATTGGGGTCTGTCCTTGGCACTGGTCAATCTCTTCGCTGGGTAACACCAGGAGGACACTGCTAGCGCCCACAGCACTTCCTGTGTGTGATACATAGTGTCTGCGCTTCCTGCACTGGCCATATTTTTGCACCTTCTCCACTACCAACCAGCCTTGAGCATACAGTCCGTCCTTATCCCAGCTGGCTTCAGTCCCATCAACTGGTGCCCAAAGCTCTATCGCTGTTTTGGGTTTGAGAAATCCAGGAAGTAAGCCGTTAGTATCCTGCAAGTGAGCCACCTGGTAGCTGTAAAGCAGAGCATTTCCAAAGAGCAGCAGGTTTCCCACAGTGGAAAGAAAACCACCTCCTGCCCACTTGTAGGAGTTGTCTACGTACGGGCAATTCACAACACGTCCGCGCTTGTTGTGATGATAAAACCTGTGGAATCGCATAGACAGGTAGTACAAACTCACTGCTATACCTCATCAAAAAAAACCCCAAACAAGCATGAGCATCATGTTTTTAAGGCAATTTGGACATAACTTGAGACTGGAGATTATACACTACCTAGAGCGGTTGTAAATAATAGGGTCATTCTCATCGGGCACTGTATTGAGCATTCCCAGCTCGCGGAACATATCCATCATGACGTCCAGGAATCGCCGACCAGCAGCCCGCTCCACAACAGCACTAAGCAGTGTGAAGGCATGAGTGGAGTACAGAAAGGTTGTGCCTGCATGCATGGAGTAAAACATACATCTCATCAAGATGTTAGCATTGTAACTGTGAATACAGAGAAACAACGAAATAAAGTTTGAGCTTTACCAGGTTTGAAAATGAGGGGGTCATTCTTAAAAAGGTCCAAAGACTGAATGACACTTTCAAAGTTGTCCTTTAAGTAGTACTCCTCGTGCTCAAACTCTTTTTTCTTCTTGGTGTTCTGATCTGTTGCGGCTTTGTTGTCTTTGCTTTCAGATGAGCTCTTTTCATTCTCTTTTTCTTTAACCGGGGGCTTTAAAAGTCGCTTGGCTTTCTCTTTGTCCTCCTTCACTTTCTTTGCATCTTTCTCATAATGCCGAATACCACTCAGGTGGGACAGAAGCATACGTGAGGTTATTGTGACCTTAAAAACAATACAAACC